ATTTAAGTACACTTTAATATAAGCAGGTAATAAGTAATGAATGATAATTTATATTTCATTCAAATACAAAAAAAAACGTACATTTATAGTAAAATACGTATAATATGTGGTAAAACATAGCCCTCTAATCGAACGACGCGCTCCTGGTGGCAGAATAACCGTGCGACTTTTGTCGGGCCATATTTTGTATACGGAGTTTGGTCTCCTTATCTCTAATCTTCATGATAATATCCTTATTAATCAAAGATATAGATAATAAACTAGATTGCTAACTAGTGATAACAGTCGGCGCCAAAAAAAGTCATGTTGGTTGTGGCCTAGAACGGCTAGAACCATAGACCTATAATTTATAATTTATAATTAATACCTATAAATTCTTTTATAGGTCTATAGGAGTTTCGTACCCCTGGTAAAAACATGATGTCATGATTGGCGGTCTTACACTTACACTGCCATAGACCTTATACTAGAGTATAAGCATGGCTCACGGTGCCCATGCTACTTATTCTATACTTACCTTAGTCTCAGTAACATTATCCGGTCTTCCATAATTTTGTTGGTTAATAGATTTTGCACCTTCATTTAAGTTTGATACTAAATTATTCTGAAGTAAGTATAAAAATGAAACGTTACTAAAAATATATAACTAGAAAATGCTGTTACATTTTACTTGAATATCAGAAACCTCTTCTACATTCCCTGGATTAATATCAGAAACAGAAAATCTCGGACTTGTAATAATATTTTGTTGACTATTATAATTTAAAACATCTCCAGGATAAACCTCTTGTACATTCCATGGACTCTTGTTTTTGGAACTAACTTTTTGATTCTGTACTATATGCTGTTTAAAAAATGATCAAGAACATAGGCGCAATTGAAGCTTGATTCAAGAAAATGTAAATTATAATAATTCCTTCATGCTTATTATTTATAAAACTATAAAAGCACCATGGATAAAAATATGTATATTTGTATTTTATTTGTATTAGATTTTCAAATTTAAAAAGCGGTTAAGTGGGTATCGCTCTGCTGTACATTAGGGGGGGGGGTGGACCTCTGACTAGGGTATGTTAAATTTGAATGCAATGATAGGTATCATAATTTGAATGCTTGTAAAAAAAAATGTGACAATGCATTTCTTTTATTTTTCAACTGCTATTGTAAAAATATTTTAGGAGCCTTGTATTAAATTTTTAAATCTTAGATATAAAAGGAAAATTTTTTATGAATTTCTAGCATAAAATAATTTATGAAAAAAATAAAAACACACATCATGGTAAAATCAATACATTTATCGCTCCGCTCAGAATCTAAAATGACAATAGATAATTCAGACTCA